GAAAAAGCACAAGTTTCCTGTTCATTAGAAGTTGTAGGCAGTCAAACAGGAATTCCAAAGGGTCTGGAAAAAAATCAGAAATTCCAATGGAGAGAAGGGGTTAACAATTTTGGAATTTGGAGGATTTGGAGGGGAGGTAGAACATTTTGGTTTCCTGAAGGCAAGGGGGGGGGGGNGGTATGGATATTTTCTGGAATCACCCATTACAAATCCCTGAATGCAGGTCCAGTTTTAGCCCTATATTCTATTAATAATAATAATAATATATTATATGATATGGCTAGCTCCCTGAGCAGGCAAGATTAACCAAATCCTGTGTTAGCTACCCTAACAGGCAAGATGGTGCCATCCTGCCACTCAGGGTTATGTGCTGTGTCCCACAAGAAAAATTTGTGCTTTATCCCATGTACATAGTAATTCCTATGTTGACCAGGCTTCCATGTTCAGTCAAGATGGCTGAATATTGACCTTGTTCTTTTCTCCTGTGTTTATGGACTTTGACTTTGTCCATTAACATGCAAAAACGAACTTGGCCAATATCCAGCCATCTTGACCTCACTCTTGGTCAATAACCCATATGTAACTGGACTGAGTCGAGGCGCACAATTCAGGGTGTAATCTGGTGAGTAATTTCAAGTCAAATAAGCATGAAGAATGAAGCTCTTTGCTAATAACTCCAACAAGGACAAATTTCAAGATTAAAAAAGTCTTTGGAGAATTTCTTTTGAGCAAAAAATTCAGTTGTGTTTTCCGTAAGCTTTTAACACTGTAGGAAACATTACATGTTTAAGAAGAAAGCCATTAAATTGCGTGCCAGTAAGTGATGTGTGAATGGCATGAGTATCCAGCACTCCAAGCTGTGACCATTTTGATGGCCATGGTGGGTGACTAAATTTTTCAAGCAATCACTGCCAAATAACAACATAAATTAAACAAGGAAACATCAAGAAAACGCCATGCAAAGGCTAAATGTCATGTGTGTTCAGTGAGCCAGAAAAAGCATGTTACACTGAGAAAAAAAAATTGTACATTCACACATCTGGAGAAAAAAACTTCTTAGTGCATGAAAGGGTCTAAAAAAAATATGTGCCTGTACCAAATTACCCATGCTCCCTGCAAAAGTCAAATGGTCCACCCCTAACGTAGTTACTTTGAGTCACCCGAGATCATACAGTACATGTACATTGTTTGTTCCCACAGTTTGAAACACATCAAACCGAAAGACAGGACATGACGATATCAACATGAAAACTATGATTGGTAGGTGAGTGATAACAGTAGCTACATGTATTAAAGCAGCCTTTTGAAACTATAACCAGCTTTATCTTCAAAAGAAAGTTAACCACAAAATAATATTACAGTACGTTTTAAATATGTAGAAGAATACCAAAGAGATGACTATTATGATAAACTAAGAGGCCCAGTGGACATGTTAGCATCAACCACTGTTTTGGGGGGGCGGAGGATACTCTACAAAGTTCTACATATATGTGGGGAGGCTCTGCCCCAAGGTCCAACCCCTTAGTAACCCTTTTGTACCCCCTTTCACATACTTTCATAACTGGCCCGTATTATAAATAAATTGTCAAAAAAGGAAGTTTTGCCATTTTCACTAGTGCCTAATAAAT